AAAAACAATTCTTTTATTCTGATTAAAACTCTAAAAAGTCAACTTAAGTCAATTTGTCAATGCTAATTAAATTAGGAATTAAAAGAACCTTCTAGAAGATTCTAGAATACTATAATCAATTCTAATTGCACTAGGAATGATAAACCAATACTAGGCCCTCCTCTAGATCACTGGGCCGCACATAAATATCAAACCGGGCCCATTTTAGTAATTTGGCCATAACTTCCTTGTTATTCATCGGAATTGGGCTTATAATATATCGTTGGAAAGCACTTTTCGAACCCGACCCAACTACACTATTATTGGACCCTTGACATAAACCAAGCCAAACCGGATTGGTTGTTTTCTAACAAATAGGTTTTTAGAAACATAGGGAAAGAAAAGAAATAAAAACTAACCGCAACACTATACTTTCCACACATTCACTTTATTCGATTACGATTTGACGCGAAAGGTACTCATCACTGGGTTTAGTTTCGGGGAGACACAAATGGGTATCAACATAATCGAAAGCCTTAAAACACGTACCTCAAGGATACGACTATGCCATGTAAGCGAGATCTAAGGCACCTGAGTAGCTGCCGCTGAATCCATGACCCGGGTCGCCTTGCCCTCAGCCGTAAGCATACGGGCATACGATACCTCCGTTCAACTCTGGTTACCTACCTACCTACTTGCCCCAAAACGCTGAGGGAAATAAGTAACCCAATGGCGAAACGCTCTCCTCAATCACTCAAGATGGTGACGAAAAGAACGTGGGCAATGTATATCCGAGCCAGCTACTCAGGTGTACACTACCGGTCAAGTTCGTCAGCTGACAACTCGTCAGCAAGAACCGAGTACGGACAAGATTGCGCGTACACGTGAAGGGCCGACGCAAGATGGTCCCCCACAAGGTCGCATAATCTCTCGTCTGACCCCTTAACGAGTCTATAACTACAGGCTCGCCTCCGAAAGGAAAACCCGTAATCATATCAAAATCAGAAGGGGTAACCGTCATCTCTCCCCATGGAAAGTGGAAAGTGTTGGTTGAATCCCACCAAAACTCCAGCAATCCTCGGAAGAAAGCTAACGACGTAGACTGGCTTGATAAATCCCAAATAGCCGCCAGCTGGGAGTCAATCCTAGAAAGTGCTACCATGTCCTTTGCCACCTCGGACAAACTCTCAAAACGAGCTCGCAAGTCACCAAAGCCGTACAAACGCATGCCTAGCTCAATCTAAATAAAAAAACGGTTATGGTTAAAAAAGGAGAAGAAACAAAAGAAAAGAGAAAGAAATGAAAGCGCGGGAAACGTGGTTATCTGGGTCCCACCCTCGGATTGAAACGTGGTTGTCTGGGTCCCACTTAAGGAACCTAGGGTCCTAGTTCGAAGGAGCCTCCAAAACCACCTTCTCCTGGCGACGTTGATCAACCGCGACGCGTTGCTCTTGAACCTTCTCTCGAGGACAGGTCACCCTCTTCCGAGGGTGAACCGCCTCATCCGGACCAAGGAGAACCTCCTCGGCATTGACAAACGGAGGCGAGTCCATTCTATGACGGATAAAATTTCTTTAATTAGTTTATTTTATTTCCTAAACAAAACTAATATACGTATTCTAGACCCATTTCGGCAGCATAACGGCTACTGATAGGGCAAAACACAAAAATCGAACGCCACCCATACTTTGGGGCTACGATACCTGTAATTAAACTCAGTAAATGGGGGCTTTTAACACCCACAAAAGTCATCCTATACCAGTTTCAACTAAGCATTCAAGGGATTATATTCCAAAATATCAAAGAATCAACTAATTCTAGACGAATAACAATAATACAAACATAATTATCGTCTACCAAACAAATTTGGAGTTCGAATATGGCAAAATAGGCTAAGTATACACTTTTTGCCAATTTTTCGGATTCAAAATTTTCAAAATGTTAAATATGGAAGCAAAGCTAGTTCCAATACTACAATTGTTGCATAATTAAAAAGTATAACCAAGATGGGCAAACATAGTAATAGAAAATCAAGCCAAATTCGAGTAAAATTGCAGAACGAACTTAAAATAAGAAATGTTCATACAAGGTTCAATACTTAACCATTTTTCATGAAATTTGTTGCAAAACACTCCTTAAACATAATCTAACAACATAGGGGAAACAATTTCAAGAAAAAATAAGCCGAATAAAAAAACCCCTAAATTTAAAATTTAGGTTTAACGATTTGAAAATCGTTCGAATTCAGTCGAAAAAGAGCAAATTTTAGCAAAAAACTTACATTGGATTACGGAAAATATGAATTGAGGATGAAATTAGCTTCCTTTAGCTTCAAAAATCGCAAAAAATGGCAAAGGAAGAAGAAAAATGGTGAAGTGAAAAATCTCGTTTGCGATTTTTAATTTACTGGCTTAAATATCGCGCGCAACTTTAGATGTTGCGTGTGACATACCAGCGCAACTCAGAAAGATGCGCGCCTGTGTTGCGCGTGGATACTAGTTGTTTCAAGGTTTTTGTCCCTTGGGAGAGTTTCAACACTAAGACTGGATTCAGCAAAGGGCGCCTGTACTTGCAAAGCAAACGGACTGTCGGATGGTCGGTGGTCCGCCTCCGAAGATTAAGTTAGTAAAGTATTCGGAATAAAACGTGCGGAAATAAAGTTATCTGCTTGGGTTCCAAGCTCAAGTGTACTGTATCTTGAGAGTGACAGTTCAGACAATAATTAATATTCAATCAAGGTTAGGTCATAAATTTGTCCTTCAAATTTGATACCCATAAATGAGGGGAATGTTCCCTATTTATAGGGCTCTAGGAATGTGTGCCCCTTCTAGGGTTTCGTGCCCTAAGAAAGGGCACGCCGCTTTTTCAAAGGCCCTTGGGTTTTGGGCCTTGATAGCTGTCATTCCCAGGGGGCCTAATCTGCGCACCACGTGTCACCATCTGGAAGGGCCAGATTGGCGCTCCTTCTAGGGACACGTGGTTGGCTCGGATTGGGCCAGCTGGTTGGGTAAAAATACCCAAATCATTTTTCCCTCACAGCGGACACGCACTTGCCACGTGTCGCATCTTACTGGCTGGATTTCAAATTAACTTTTGGAGGTAAAAATTGGGGTTTTACTCTTCTATAAATAGAAGGGTTTGACCCCCCTTTTGGATTCACACCTTTGCGAATCTTGGAGAATCTCTGGACTTTTGACTTTCAAAGACTCTCAAACACTTAAACTTATCAAGCATTCGACCCTCGGCATTTTGTCCGTCTATTTCAGCAAACCAGGCGTCTCCTAGTACCTTCTTCTAAGGTAACCGCCTGCTCTCTTCTTTTACTTATTTTTTCTTGCATTTTTTCTTTAACAAATGGTTTTCCAAACGCACCCGGCACGACCTAGGTTAATGATCAGCCGGTCACCGGGGACGGCTGAATCTAGAACTAGGAGTGCCGAATGCTCATTCGAGAACTTTTCATTAAGTACATCTCCAAATCCGACAGTGTCTGTGCATCTGCGTGCAGGGCACGATGGCCATAACAAAGCAGACAACGAGGAGATATAGGGCAGATGGTTCCTTTTACCATTCGGACGACAAGACTGTCAACTCTGATGGCTCCATTAGGGTGCCTGCTAGTGAAATCTCTGAGAACCCCCCAAACCCTTCAACTGACCTTCCCCAAACTCCAACTTATTATTCTTCCCCATCTTCAAGCGGCACCCCCAGTGATACCATATTGCGGGAAGCCGACAGTCAATACAAGCCCGAGCCTTCAAAATAGGCGTCGGAAGAGAATCTAGGGGAGGACCCTGCTTGCCCCAGCCGGTAGTCCCCTAGCTCTAGGGAGAGCTCTGATGACGATTCGGCCTTGTCATCTTCTAAAGATGCCACCGTTACTTCAGAGGAGGCCTGAACAAAGATCAGCACTGCATGGGAATCCTTGTCAGTGGAGAGAGGAGAAGGCTGGGCTGAGCCGAGTGCTTCTAGGCGCCTGCCACCTGGAACGCGCTCTCTACTATCACCATGTCCCGCAAAGTAAGCGGACTTCTATGACATCAGGTCTTGCCAACTTCAAGCGCAAGACTGTAATGGGTCATGGATTTTCCTTTTTTGTTCCTAATAAGGATGATACAGTAACCTGGCCGACCTTGGCCATCTATAAGGACCAAGCATTCGGACGCTACGAGGCAGTCCTCTAGGCTGGTCTGCGCTTCCCTCTCCATCCGGTCGTGGAGAGAATACTGGACGGATACCAACTGGGTATCTGGCAACTTGTCCCGAATTCCTTGATTAATATTATCGGGTATGTTGCCGCATGTGAAATGCTGGAGGTGGAACCCAGCTTTGAGGCATTCACCCACATGCACTTTCTCAGCCGAGCGCCTGCTAAGGGCGACGAAGGCTGGTACACCTTATCCACCTGCAAGGGGTACGTAATGGCAGTTGGCAAGGAAAAAAAGTAGAAGGACTGGAGAATAAAGTTCTACATAGTCCATTCCTCTGATAGCCGACTGAACCAGAAATACAATAGGTGAAACAAGCCCTCCTGGAAAGAGTGCCTTGCCCCCTCTCCCTAGGCGGGCCCAGGAGGAAATTTTTTACAGGGGTTTGTTCTAAGTGTCTTTTCGGACAAATAAGCAGGGGAAGAAAATAGTCGTCCCTTAGAGCTACATTCCCCTTTACAAGTGGTTAGAGGATGGGGTGTTCTTGGCCGCTTGTGGGCTAAGTTCTGAGATGCCGAGAGGTAGGCGACCGTCTGATTTTATGCAACTTTTAAATTATTTTTCAATGCTTGTTTATAAATTCTAACTCCCGCTTTTGGTGCAGACAAAGCTATGGAAAAGATCTCGGCAACAAGGATGGCGGCTGCCGTCTCAGCGGCGAAATATCGCTCGAACGTCCTTAATCGAGCGAGTGACGAGCAAAAAATAGCCGGGACCCCCAAGGTAGTTGTTTATGAAACTTGATATATTTTTCAGCAAAGGTCAATTTTTGCCCGCCTGTTTTTCTGACGCCTTTTCCTTGTGCTAATGTAGAGTGGCTCCACCAGACCTTCTCCCTCTAAGCAATCCCGATCCAAAATCCAAAAGACTGGGACAGGTGATGTGAGTGCATCCGGCAAGAACCGGAAGTACATTGCTTACAAGCCCAAAAGAGGAGACAACTCTACTCTCGAAGCTAACAGGGAGGTCAGCAAACCGGATGCCACTCAGGCATTGAAGGGTATCTTTAAGCAACCCACTACTACTTTCGGCTCAGCAGGAGAGAAGAGGCGTCATGGGAAGGAGGAGGAGGTTTAGCCACATGGTATAAGCCGCCTCTTCATTGAATATCATCATAAAGATAGTTTCTTAGAATTTTCTTGATTAACTTTAATCTTGCAGCTCCTGTGCAAAGGCCGACCGTTGTCCAGATGGCCAAGGAGATGCTGAGGGCGCTTGATCTAGAGGAAAAGGCGTCCGTGAGAGGAGTCGGCACCCTTATCTTGGATGCCATCTTGGGGAATCTCTATGAGGTAGAGAGTTAGCTTAATTTTCTTAATGTTTAAGCATATATCCGACTGGTCATGACCATTCGGCTTTTTTCTCATCTCAAGGCTATGCTACGCATCCAGGGGCTAAGGAGGCCAATCCAGGTTAAGTCCAAAGAGGTAACAGCCGCTAAAGCTCAAGCCGAGTCCTCCTTAGACCGAGCTTAATTTGAAATTGATCAAAATGAGCTACTAACCCTTGATATGATGTATTCCTAGGCGGATGCCAACCTGCAGCTAAAGATAGGCCTGGATTCGGCTCGCTCCAAAATTATTGACCTTAAGGCCGAAATTAAAGGTCTTAAGGAAAAGCTTGAGCCTCTGCAAGAGGACAAGAAAGAGGCCGAGAGGGCTAAGGAGCGGGTTGGTCGTCTGGAGATGCGCCTAGCGAACAAGGAGAAGCAGCTGAAGGCCAAGTCTAAGTCCCGAGCTGAGGAGGAGAAGGAGGCCCTTGTCAAACAAATGATGGAAGACTGTGAGTCCATCATGCGGATGGCATGGGAGGCGGTATAGCCGGGTGTTGACTATAGCACCTGGAAATCCAAGTTTGACCAAGCTAACGAGGATTTCAATGCTGAAATTCTTCGCCAATCTCAAGAGGAGGCGAACAAGACAACTGCTGAGGGGTGAAGAGTCCGACTCCTCATCAGGCTCTTCTGGGGACGAGCAGGGAGACGAGGAGGATGAAGAAAATGCTGAGTAGCCGGCGGGTAATGATGCGGCTGCCAATGTTGAGAACTCCCCTGCTACTTAAGCTTTTTATAATTTCTTTATGCGGCCGAATGGCTATTTTTGTCTGATCTTCCGGCCTGCGTGCCGAGTAAAAATGTATCTTTACCGACCGAGGGGTCTGGTTATTTAACAATTCTCCTGGCTTAGCCAGTTAACTCTTTGCAGTCATCAATTTTGACGATTGTTTAAATTTTATGAAGCATCCGGTCATTTGGCTGGTTTTATTTAGATTGGTGTTTATGCATGCTTTAAAAATTTTCAAAGGTTTTTTTTATGCATAGAATTTTAACTAAGTATTTTATCCCGTATAGTATGCGAATGTTCTTGCCCCTGGCCGGATGTCGATTGGTTTCGAGTGATTGGATTGATTGACTTAGAAATTATTGATACTTAGAAGAGTGTGTATGGTTTCTAGGTTAATCAATCACTATGGTGATTGCCCCAAACCAAGCGACAGACGGCCATGCAGAGCAGTCGAATCTTTAATTTTATTCGACCATAGGCCTCGTTAAAATAAGATGCTAAGTTTTAAATTAGCTTATTTATTTAAGAGAAAGTATTTCGCCTGGTTTGCCCAAAAGCAGAACAGGCGAATTCGGCCATAAATGCTAAGTTTTTGGACTTAGCTTTTTTTATTGAGAAAGAGTTCTCTACTTGCCTTGCCCTAGAGAAAGAACAGGCGCATCCGGCCTTATGCCTCGATAGCCTCTAATCATGAAACAATGACCTCTTTCCAATTGTACTAGAACAATTCGAAAGACTATCGACCTTTTAGATTTCACTTTCGATTAATTCAAACAACTACGGATGCATTTTTAGCATTCGGTAGGGTCGTTTGATGTATTAGTAGATGCTTCTCCTCGACGAATTCGCCCGTATGGACGTCGTCGGTTATCTGACTCATGTTGGAGCAGACTGTGGCCGTCAGCCTCTATTGTTTTATTATTATCCGGCCATTGGCCTCTATAAAAATGGTAAATAGCTGTTAAGTGTTGGACTTAACTTGAAAATAAATTAGTAGGATCGACTGATTTGGTGCAGTCGTCTCCTTTAGACGGAATGGGACGTCTGCTGTTGGGACAGACGTTGAAAATAGGGTGGTTGCTTGTACTTTGTACAGGCGACGCCTGCATAATTTACAAAAATTAGCAAAAAGACAAGTTTGGGAAATGAAGACATATTCTCATTAATCAAAACTTTGAAGCATTTACAAAAATTCTTAGAAGTAATACTTTTTTAAGTTGTCTACATTCCAAGTTCTAGGCAGCCGCCTTCCGTCTGGTTCTTCCAGTCGGTAGGTGCCGTCTCTTACTTCACAATAGATACGGTATGCGCCTTTCCAATTCGGTGTTAGCTTTCCCTGTTCATTCGCCCTACCGAATGCCTCCATTTTCCGTAGCACTAAGTCCCCCACTTTGAGAGGACGCTTGTGTACTCTTTTGTTGTAGGCCCGAGTCATTCTCTGACGGTAAATCTCATGGCACAAGCCAGCATTGCCCCTGCGCTCTGGAAGTGAGTCCAATGCTAGCCGCATGGCCTCCCTGTTTACTTCTTCGTCATACAACATGATTCGAAGAGTCGGCTCTTAGTGTTCGATGGGCAGGACAACTTCTGCACCATACACCATGAGGAATGGAGTTTCTCCAGTTGCCCCTTTTGCGGTTGTTCTGATGGCCCAGAGGACGTGTGGTAATTCATCCGCCCAAAGGCCACCAGCCCTTTCTATTTTCTTTTTGATTCCGTATGAGATTAACTTGTTGAAGGCTTCGACCTGGCCGTTTGCTTGGGGCCGGCCGGCTGATGCAAAGAAACTTGAGACCCCTTGGTCTCCCAACCAAGTCTTGAACTGAGGCGTCTTAAACTGAGGTCCGTTGTCAAAAACCATAGACATGGGCACCCCAAAACGAGTGATAACACTCCTCCATATGAAGGAGATGACATCTTTGGTCTTGATGTTTTTAACCGCCTCCGCCTCTACCCACTTAGTAAAGTAATCCACAGCTACCAGTATATAGGGCTTGCCGCCTGGGGCGGCTGTGTAAGGCCTAAGTATGTCCATGCCCCATTTAGCAAAGGGTATTGGGCTGTGGATGGCCGTCAGGTCTGTGGCCGGATGATGGATGGGCTTGCCAAACTTTTGGCACATGTCACATTTTTTTACCATTTCCATGGCATCCGACTCCAGATTAGGCCAGAAATAGTGTCGCCTAGCCTTTGTAGCTAAGGACCTGCCGCCTATGTAGGAGGCGCAGAAACCCGCATGCAAATCTTAGAGGACTTCTTTACCCTTCTCTAGGGTAACACACTTCAACAGAGGTTTCAAAAACCCAGTTTTGAAGAGTTCTCCTTGTCTCAGCTCAAAGTTTGTCGTTTTCTTCTTCAGAGAAGCCGCCTCCTGGGGTGAATTAGGGAGCGTGCCGTCTGCAAGGTAGGCCCGGATGTTTTCCCTCCAGGTTGAGCTTCGGTCAAGAATTCCAATGGTGTATTCATTAGATATACTTCTCTTTTCCATGACCTCCCAGAAAACTGACCGAGGGGTTTCACAGGAGGCGGATGATGCCAATTTTGACAGAGCATCCGCCTGATTGTTTGAAGACATGGGCACTTGATTTAGATGAAACTCCTCAAGTGTCCCGACTTCATTTTTGATCGCCTGCAAATATTTTATCATGGCCGGATGAGTGGCCTCGTACGTTCCATTGACCTGGAGTACGACCAGTTAGGAATCAGAGCAGGCGTCAATTTTCTTTGCCCCTACCGCCTTGCAGTACCGAATGTCGGCTAGCAGGGCCTCATATTCGGCCTCATTGTTAAAGACCTGGAACTTGAATTGCAATGCATATTCGTACTTATCTCCCTCAGGGACTTGTGAAGCCGTCTTAGAGGTACTCTCCCCACAGATGATGCCAAATGTTTCGGGGGTTTTTGTCCCTTGGGAGAGTTACAACACTAAGACTGGATTCAGCAAAGGGCGCCTGTACCTTCAAAGAAAACGGACCGCCGGATGGTCGGTGGTCCGCCTCCGAAGATTAAGTTAGTAAAGTATTCGGAATAAAACGTGCGGAAATAAAGTTATCTGCTAGGGTTCCAAGCTCAAGTGTACTGTATCTTGAGAGTGACAGTTCAGACAATGATTGGTATTCAATCAAGGTTAGGTCATAAAGTTGTCCTTTAAATATGATCCCCATAAATGAGGGGAATGTTCCCTATTTATATGGCTCTAGGAAGGTGTGCCCCTTCTAGGGTTTCGTGCCCTAGGAAAGGGCATGCCGCTTTTGCAGAGACCCTTGGGATTTGGGCCTTGAAAGCCGTCATTACAAGAGGGCCTAATCTGCCTGCCACGTGTCACCATCTGGAAGTGCCAGGTTGGCGCTCCTTCTAGGGACACGTGGTTGGCTAGGATTGGGCCAGCTGGTGGGTAAAAATACCCAAATCACTGATCACTAAAAGACCGGGATTTTGATTTTGATCCGTTTGATCATTTTTTGAACGGTTTTTGCTCGTTATTAGACGTAATGGAGCGCAAATCATCAAAATATTTTTAATTGCTTTGCATATTGTAGTTTGTTTTATTTTTTGTTACTTTTTTGCATCATATTGCATGCACACCGTGCTTTATGCCTTCCCCAAGCATACATTTTGAACGTTTTTTGTAAGAGTGCCTTAAGACGTTCCGTGGTACTGACGTTACAAATGTTCGGGTTTTCTTCTTTTTTCACGTCCGAAGCAAAAAGGAAGGCGTTTTCATGCAGCGTAAAAATGCAAATGGCGTATTGTACGACGCAATGTTGTATGGCGTAGGTGATGCGTAAAATTTCACTCAGCCCAAGCTTTGCGAGATCTACCTATCAGGACTAAAAGGTAGAGAATTACTGTAAGCGTTAGCTCAAAGAGTCGACAGGCACGCCGAATCTTCAAGAACATGCTCTTCTTGAATGGATACGGTAGTTAGTGCGATTACTAACTTACCGGACGGTTAGGGTGTCGAATCCACCACCTGTATAAAGAAGTGACAAGACGATGTCGCAGCTATGTAGTCACGTGCCCCCAGTCCCGAGACACGTGTACTCGTCTTGTGGACAAAACTGATGAGAGAGTTGCTGACTTTCTTCCCTCTCACTGAATTTTGATATATGCCTCACGTCCTAAGACATGTATTTATATCTTGTGGACTTCCGGCTTGAATACCGGACCCGGCTCAAATACCGGACCATTTCGGCTCGAATACCGAAAACCCCTTTTTCTTCTTTTACTTTGTTAAAGTCAGGCTAAAGTTTTAATGACATATCAAGGGACTTTAGACCAACGATGAAACTATTAACAGGAAATCCTCCCCTTTTATTCTTTTAAAACCGATCTTTTCTCATGACTTGACATCACCCAGAATACTTTTACTTGTAAGAGCGTTCTACAATTGACAAGGATAAATCTAGATTCTTTAGCGCGTTAAGACTAGGAAGGACTTTTTATAGCCTTAATAGCTACTTGTTTCAAACACTTAGCAAACCAAGGATTGTTTCGACATCCTTAGACATTACTGAAAGATTCTCTATCCTTAGGGAACTTCGCAGAATGAGTCTTGGATTTATTTCCTTGACTACTTTGATCATCATCTATTCTAGACTCGATCAAAGTGGGGGCTAACTGTAGACATTTACTTTTGGCCTCCTATCCCGACAGGAAGTGAAATGACGATAAATAAAGCCATCTTCGTGTGGGATCGAAGTATTTCTGTTGCGCGCGACACCCAGTGTAACTTTTAGAGTTGCGCTACAGAAGAT